ACATTCAAGAATGAACACAATTAGCATACAAAACCTTTTTTTTTTCTTTTTAAACACAAAATAACCTACCTTATATAAATGAAACTTACTGTATGCATAATGCATACCGTTTCACATGCTATTTCTAAATTAGTAGTTCTATAGTGTACAGTGCAGCAAGTTAGACCCTGAACAGTCGCTTTGAGAAAAATGACTATAGTTACACATCAGCCAGGAGCAGGAGACGGATCACAATTCAGCATCAGTATGACCGTGCTGGTGGAGTCTGTATGTTGAGCAGGAAGTAATTAGTCAGGATTAGTGGTTTAGGTCAAATCCAAAGCAGAATGAGGAGCATGAATACAGATCCAATGTCGTGGCTGGTTTGGGTTACACTGCCTGAGGAGGAGAACAGCTGCTAAGCCCAGCTCTGAACAACCTGTCCTACAGGTGTGAGTCAGTCACAAACCAGTTCTGCTTCATCTCCTACATTCATTTCTCTGTCTCTCATCTATTCAGTGCTCTAACAGGAAGACTGTTTTCCTCTATTTGTAGCGGTGTCTGCAAGCATGACTATCACCATTGCTCAAATTAGTGTTTGAACGAACTCTTATCTGGAAGTGTTTGGCTTCTAATGAAGAATAGCTCAGATCTTGTGGCTTGTTGAGGAGAGCCGTGTTGAAGCACAAACACTAAGGGTGTGTTACTGTAAATTTAGCAAAGTTCGGGGGATTCTGTGCAGCGAAAAATACAACAACAACAACACAAAACTTACATTGAAAATGGGTGCGATGTAAATCCTCAGTGGAACCAAAAAATAAATAAATAAAAAAATTCACCATTTGTGAGCAAAAACGTCCAATGCAATAACAGTAACTAGCATTTTCAGGATAAAAAGATCCTTTTCAAACACATCGTTAGGGTTAAGCCTACTAATCATGAATGAACTTGATGGTTTGGTTAAGTAACCGAGATTTCACACCCATTTCTACATGCATTCTAGTCGACTCGCCAAAAACAAAACCCAAGAAAAAAAAAGAAAAAAAGAAACAGATGTACAAAACTCAAACCTTTTTTTATTAAAGTCTATCGCATGAATTATTTATATATATTTATAAAAGTTCTACAGTGACAGAACTGGCACATGATCAGACAACAGTTAGTTCGTTCATTCGTTCTCAATGAACAATAAAGAGCACAAGAGAAATATACATGACAAATACCAACAGATACACCGTTTCTCGAGCCGAGGGTGTGTGTGTGTGTGTGTGTGTGTCTCTCTCTGTGTGTGTGTCTAAATGGAATAAATGTCATTTGGAAGAACAAATAAATACATCACATTTCACTTGTGCATCCTCAGCATAAATGTGTAGCATGCTTTTCACGTCAGCCTCATCTACCAGCATACACATGGATTCTCGCACGCACACAGCAGATCACATAGTTCAGGTCTGCTGAATTGTTTTAAGCGAGGGTGTGTTTTATTTTTGCTGACAGAGAGTGTGTTCATCAAATCTGGAATACTGGCTGTAGTGTGAGGTAAAAAGACTGTGTATCTATGACTGCAGCCACATCTAACATTAAACGCACATCCTGAGCACACGTCTTTCACACCGGGCCCGAAGCACTTTAGCACCAGAGTAGAGAGCATCAGAGTGTGTTTCAGTGGAAATGCATCACCGTCTGGAGTCGTGTAAACCATGTGTTCAGTCGCTGTCGCTCGTGTCGCTGCTGGGGTCGCCCTGGACTTTGTTGCGGTGCTGCATGGCGCGGTGATACGCCACCTGAACAGACTTCCTGATGTTTGACTTCCGGCCTTCCAGCATCTTCTCTTTGTCCAGATCCTGATTGACGCCCAGAGGAACCAGTTTGGAGCGCGGCAGCCATTGCCTGCACACACACACACACACACACACACACACGCTCGCACACACGCGCGCACACACGCGCACACACACACACACGCACACACACGCGCACTCGCGCGCACACACACATACATACACACACACACACACACACACACGCGCGCACACACGCGCGCACACACACACACGCACACGCGCACTCGCGCGCACACAAACATACATACACACACACACACACACACATACATACACACGCACACATTTAGTGTCTCTTTTCTCATCCATATGTACTTTCAGCTCTGTACAGCATGTTCATTTCCTCTGGCCTATTTCTCTCTGTTTGTCTGCACACAGAGATGCTGACAGGGCTACAACGCGCTCATGAGAAGGTCAAAGTGGATCAACATCAACTTGCATTATGGAGCCTCTTGTAATGAGAAAGATCATTAAGATGTTTTTCATTAAGATTTTAATGAATATTAAGCACATTAACCCCCACCTGCATTTACCATGATGATTCAGGAGGACCCCTGTACTACGGTAATGATTGTGTGATCATTAAGAATAATCACCATTAAAATGCTGCAAATTACCAAAAAAAATAAAAATACGTCAAATGAGAATTTTAAGACACTTCACAGTAATGAGAATGAGATTTTTGGTCATTATGGTATGGCAATTACAGTAAAATGCACTTAGTTGTGAAATAGATGCATTTCTAGGTTTTTGAATATCAATGTAAGAATATCATTTCTGCTCTCACTGGTGCAAGTGAAGAGAAGATTCAAGATCAAAGACATAAACCGCATGCTGAAAAATATATCCGTCACCTCAGTGGAAAAATTACCAAGAGAAGTTTGTATGACTGTATGTGTGGAAGATTCCTCTCATCACAGCAGCGACTTCAAAACACGAGGACGAAAGCGAGTGGAAAGTTCAGAAGAACAGCATTTATTTGAAACAAATCTTTTGTGGCATTATAAATGTCTTTACGGTCACTTTTGAACAATTTAATGGGTCCTTGACGAATAAAGCTATTAATTTCTGAGGCCAAACATTTGAAGAGTAGTGTAATTGTGGTTCCTCTTAAATGTATGAGCATTTTTGACAGACACAAACATTTGTTTGTGTCCTAACAGTGCAAAAAGCAAGAGGAAGAGCATGAGCGTGTAACTAACCAGGTCCTCTTGTTGTCGAAGAAGAGCACGAGGAAGAGATGCTCGCGCGCCTCCTGCGTCATCTGCTCTCCCAGCTTCAGCACCTCTATCGGCGGGACAGGAATCGGGACGCCCCGGTGGAACACACCCTCCCTTGGCATTTTGGGATCAATGATCTGTGGGAAGATATCGGAGAGAAGAACAGCAATAGATGACACTCGCATGATCCGCATGCATACATCACCCCGCTCTCTTCAAACAGATCAACAGCTATTTGATCGTGTGTGTGTGTATGCGAGGTGAGTGCGCGCGTGTGTGTGTGTGTGTGTGTGTGTATGCGAGGTGAGTGCGTGTGTGTGTGTATGCGAGGTGAGTGCGTGTGTGTGTGTGTGTGTATGCGAGTGAGTGCGTGTGTGTGTGTGTATGCGCGTGGGGGCGTGTGTGTGTGTGTGTGTGTGTAGAGAGAGAGAGAGAGAGAGAGTGTCTGTGTGTGAGAGAGAGAGAGAGTGTGTCTGTGTGTGTGAGTGTGCGCGCGTGTGTATGTGCATGTGAGTGAGTGTGTGTGTGTGTGTGCGCGAGAGAGAGAGAGAGAGAGAGCGTGTGTGTGAG